CTGGTCAAGGTTGGCCATTCCGCGGCCCATCTTGGTGCGATTATTTCCAGTACACAAGTCTCACAAGGTTGGAATGTCCTTTTGAGCAACAAGATCCACACTGCCGGGGTCCGCAACCACGGCTTTGACCTCTTGTACAGTTGAAAATCAAGTGTAGAACTCTCTCAAAAGGCCAGCATCAACCATCGGTGGAACATCATTGGCCTTGAATAAGCCCCATCAGACCTTTATATGGAAGAATAGCGCTTCTTGTAATGGACATTGATGTAAGAAAGATGAGATTGAATTTTGACATGAAAGTTGAAAACATACCTTGGTACTTTTGTAATCCTTGCGGAGGACACCACTTTGCAGCTACAATGGGTATTGTTTGCGTGCACAAGTGGGTGCAGGAGGCTGATTAGAGGGGCCCGGGGTGCATGATTTCTGTGGTCCTTTGGCAGCAGGAGAAGGAGTCTTGGCGCAAGGAGGAAGGTTTCAGTTGGTCTTGGTTGGATTTCATATCTGGAATAATGTTTGATGTCGACTGCTTCTGGCGCAAGGATTGGCCACTGAGATCCTTGAATTCTTGAAGTTGACTTTGTGAACCACTGATGGTGTGTTTGCATTGATCTGCCTGTTACTGCAAGCTGTTTGCAATCATTGCCGCTACGGCATCCAGGGTGAGGCCAGCGGGATTTGGCAAGACATTATGTTCATTGTTTTGGGATTGCATGATCAGGGCAATGAAGAGTATTTTGAAGAAAGTGGGGCTGATGAAGTGTGTGAAGAACTTTGTTTTGGTGGCGAAGAAAAGAAGCTCTTTTTTTGAAGAGATATGGGATCCAATGAGGCGGGGGTTGAGCTCCTTTCATACTTGACATAATGAATTTGTGGCAACCCTTCAGGAAAGAAATTACAGTTAGTGTTGTTCAAAACTTTGACGGAGGAACCTGAGACTGTCCTGATCAGGGGTTGACAACTCACCAAATTGATTGAGGTGGAATGCCAAGCCAAAAGGGAAGAGTGTGTAGATTGTTCTGGCGGTTCACGAGGTCAAGGAGATCCAAAAGGGCGAGAGACCCCAATCAGGGTGCAAACTACTGAGTTGTAGTAGACTGCCGAGCCAAAAGGGAAGTTGTTGTGATGAAAAAGGGTAAGTCCAAAGGCCGTGGTGTTGCATGCAGTGACGAGCTGTCACAAACCAAAGCCAAGTGTAGCATCCAAACAGGCCTGTTGCAGCTGAATACAGCCTGTCGCAAGCAAGCTGGAGCTGGGAAACATCAAGTAGACATGTCACCCATGTGAAATTTCTGACTGTTGCAGATATGTCTGCAACATCAATTTGCCCATGGTGTGAATGGTATGGCAATGGAGTGTTGCACCGGTTCATCTGGTTCAAGCCCTGGAAGAGGTTTTTTTGACAAATTTTGGGAATGGCCTCAGGACATATGATGGGAATGTGCTAACAAATCATCATCTCAGGACAATTATTTTTGCTATGCCTGAGCGGCAATAAACTATGGAAAACTTTCTCACAAGCAAAAACTTATGTCATTTTGAGATATGCCGAGACCTTAAAAGTAAAGACCACACAGCCGTTTTGGATGCGCTTCCCAAGCAGGACACATTTTTCACGGACGGCGGCTTCATGCAATAGTGCCATCAACAATTTGAAGGCCAGTGCAAAATACCAAATTGAACTTGTTTGTAAGGCCAAAAAAGCACTATGGGTGGGCTTTATTGGCGGTACGTGGCTGTTGGAATTTACCCACATTCCGGCGACATCTGCCGTGCGCACGGACCACATGACCAAGTTTTTGCAATTGTCTTCTCATCCTTTTTGAAAACAACTGTACTATAGAAAAGATAGTATAATGTGAAGATTTTTTAAGTCTTGTTTTACTCACCTAAACCTGTTGATGTTCCTTGCACATTTTCCACATTTTCCACCTCCTCACAATTTCTTTGATCATTTGTTGCCTGGGTTACTGGGCTGTTAATCAATGAATCACACTGCCAGCATTAAAGAGGTTCCCAGATGGGAATATGGGTCCTAGTGATCACATTCCCATCCTGCTACTGTTACACAGTTCCACAAATATTTCCTGAGTAGCCATTGTGATATATGTAGTCAATATTTTGAGATGTGTGTCTCAATTTGAACAAAGTTACAGCATGTATTACACATGAACTTCTTATCTAGATGAGCAGATAACTGAGCGAACCTGTATGTAGCTGATAGCTAAGGATTTACTCAGATGTTTGCACATATGTAGTGTATGCTTTATGGCTCAGATGTGCAGTGCAAGATGATTTGATGCACCATTCTTCTCTCAATGATATTCCCAGCCTAGGTCACGTTCCGACCAGGGAACCTATTTAATGCTGGCAGTGTCAATAACTTGTGAAATATTTTTCTTTTGTCCTGTATTACCACCACTTTCCACTACTCTTCTTTCTTCTTCTTCTGAATCTTTGTTTTCTAGTTGTTCCTTCTTTCTTTTTGAGCTTTCTCCTACTTGATCTTGAGCTATATTTCCTTTTGATGTTGAAGAATTTTGAACAACTTCATTTCTACTTTCTAATTCTCTATTAATACATTCATCTGCATATTCTTGTGCCACCATTATTTCTCAACTTGCATAACTTGCTTCTTAACAGTAGTAAATAAACACCATGTTGGTATCCTTGTAGCACGTCAACATGCACACACAGAGAGTTTTGAAAAAGATCAGAAAATATTTTTGTAGGATTTAGACTGAGATTGGTGTTGAGTGCCCTTTGTGAATGATCATTTGACAAAAGCATTTGTGGCATCCTTTGTCAGCAGTTGGGGACAACTGTGTGTCAACATCCCAGTTGACAAAGGGAAGATGTGACTATTGTGGAGACCTCTTCAAAGGATCATTCAAGTATGTATCAAAAGTCTTTGGTGTGTGCATGTTGACGTGCTACAAGGATATAGACATGGTGAAAGAAAAGAAAAAGTGTTTGAAATGAAAACAAATATATTTGAGTTTGTGTTTGCCTTTTGCTGTTTTACAGCAAGTCTATCTTATGATGAGTGAAAATATCTTCTCAAGGGAGAAGTTACTCTCCTCTCGGCTCCTCTCTCTACCTAGCAATGACTGTGTGTGGGGCTTCTCCCTCTCTGGTCCCCTCCTTCGGTACCAGGATTCCACTGCCCCGTTCTCTCTTGCTTTTGATGGAACTTTACGGGTACCGTCAACCCGTTGGGCACCCGTACCATTCACGCCAATCACAAATTCAAAGACCAGTGAAGTGTAATGCCTGGTAATGACGCGCAAATAACCGGGAAATCTGCGCCCGATCCTTATTGAGCTTCTCATTTTTTGTGGAAATCCGCTCTTCTATGAATGTGCGGCTTTTCAGACGTGCGGCTCACAAGCTCAGGATTATTCACAGGAGACGCAAAGGTTTACATGAAGATGTTTTTTGCTTGAGCAAGATGCAGACCAAACAACACAATTCTAACTCTGGTTGACAAAGCAAACATCACCCAGTACGTCCGTTGTGGACACCAATAACAACAACAATATCCAGCCCTATGACAGGGTGTCCTCGGCTGCATTGTGATGATCAGATGAGCAAAAGATCATTGAGAAACATTGGCCTACTCAAGTTCAGCAAAGACCCTCTTAAAACCGGAGACTTTGAGTTGTCCTTTGTGTTTCACAAAAGTGATGGTTGCGTCTAGGCCCTCGTCTTGATTCTCCCCGTTTGGTTCCTTCACAGTCACTTTACCCAATAATTTGATCTGAACCTTTTCTTGGTCTGAGTTTTCTGTGCACTTTGCTGAAAACAAATCACATTGTGTTTTTAGGTATTTGGACGAGGAAGGTGGGTTCAAAGTTAGATTAGTGCAAGTGGTTTCCTCCTCGTATATGATTCAAGCACATATCCAACTAGGGAGCATACCTGAGGAAATTTCTGTCTCGTATGTGCGCTGTAGATGAACCATCTGCGCTGCCAGGGCGTCGCCAATTTCTTGTGGAAGATGATAGTCAGAAAATGCGAAGAGGGTGTCAGCAAATCGTCATAGCACCTTGAAACTGCACAAGGAAGTCTACTTACGGTTTCCCTTGAGAACATGCCCCAAATAATCGAACTTGGCACTCGGGTAATTGTGTATCTGAGCGATTACGCCATCTGGCTCTCCTGCATCTACGCTTTGATAAAACTTCTCAAGACCGCCTTGGAGGTCATCCTCAACCCAAGCTAAAAGAAAGAGTAATTAAGTTATGATTCTGGAGCAACAGCGTCCGGGAGTTGCGTGAGCGACTCACGTTGCGGAACACCTTGGACTTTGAAGTCAGGTCCACTAAAATGGATCGCCTGGGCTAGAAATGGAGATGTTGCGAAGACAACAGCAAGAAGTGTAGTTGAGAGTTTGGTCATGGTGGTTATAGCCTAGGTACTGATGAGGTCTTTAGTAGCTACGAAAGATTATGCACAAAGAATGAACACTGATAATGAGCAGATGAGGGACTACCAAGCCAATGGACGTCCTCCTTTTATACTCATGAGGAAAGGTTATACACTATATAACACTCGCTGCTTGCCTCGCACTCTTACGAGTTGAAGCTCTGCGTCCTGGCGTGTTCACTCATCCATCAATGTGTGGATATGATAACTGCGCATTCTATTTGCGGCGCTCAATCGACTTGTACGTATGGACAATATATATTCCCTATCATCGCCGGAGCTCATGATGACTCATGTGTTCTCACTTCATAGCCTACGCTGACTTGTCTAGACCTCAGTTCCTCTTTTTTTATCAGAGTAAAACACTTCTGTACCTTTAAACCACTGACTTATGTGCCTACGTAATATCTTTCGCAACGTCTTACATTCGGATAAGAAAGCGAACGAAGATCTGCCACCTTGCAAAGAGTTGAGGGCGATTTGCATCACACCTCATCGGCCAGTCTCACGCAGGTTACCAACAACCCCCCATCATCTTTCTTTGGCAAGTGCCACATTATGCACCCAAAACCTTTTGGCTACGTAAGCAGCATCTCCTAAGCGGTACCGTCATGAAATCAACAGCTACGCTGCTTTTAACCTCGATAACCAGGTCCAAAGATATCTTCTGCAAATTTCAATGTGGATCATATCCTTCCTCGACAAGTGTGATATCAAAACACTACGCAGGGAAATAAATCGTGGCATTCCAAAGTTGAACCAAGCTGAAGTTACCTAAAGCTTATCAATCAGGTTAACAAACCATCTTGAGTTTTTTACATCTTCCGTTCATGTTTTAACATCAGTTTTGCACAGCATACATTTTATAAAAGCGACAATAGGGGTTTCAAGTTTGATTCATTTCATTTTCTTGAAAAATTTGGACAAGCTGTTCAAAAAAATCCATCATGAAACCACCGTATTTTTATTTTGGGACACGTGAAAAGGGACACCTAAAAATGGGTTCCACTTTGAAAAAAATTATGCATATCTTACAACAACGGGCAAGTTTCCAAAACGTAATATTCCAAAAAAAAACCAAAATTGTAACCCCCTAATACTGGTCCCCACTCGTGCGGCTTTATTCCAAATCCTGGAAAATTTGAATCTTTACCTGCCGCTGAACCACATCTCTGCGTAAGGGAGAAGCTCAGAATGGCTCCATCAACCCCAAGCAACGGAACACAGGGCATATTGAAAAGCTTCGAAATCCGTCTAGATAACTACAAACTGATTTCCCGTGACGAATACTAGAGGTGAGCCTCTATCACCTCTTGTCACTGATATACCTAATCACTAACCTGATTTCCCGTGACGAATACTAGAGGTGAGCCTCTATCACCTCTTGTCACTGATATACCTAATCACTAACCTGTAAGGTTTTAGGTAAAGATAAAGATAAGGGAAAAGGATCGACACAGATAATTTCAGCGGATGATTCTTTTCCTTCCGTAGAATGACGGATAATATATTTCACCTGATTTCCCGTGACGAATACTAGAGGTGAGCCTCTATCACCTCTTGTCACTGATATACCTAATCACTAACCTGTACAATCAGATAAAACAACAAAACAGATATAAAGAGAATGAGAGAAGTTAGATGAGATTGTAAAAGAAATAACACATCTCTGTCAAATACTATCTGACCTGTAAGGTTTTAGGTAAAGATAAAGATAAGGGAAAAGGATCGACACAGATAATTTCAGCGGATGATCTAGCGTCGTCAGATGAAACAATACAATGATATAAATCAATATGATTAGTGAAGTAATTCAAATGTGTATTGATTGAAACTGAAAACAGATGTGTATAGAACTAAGAATAGAAAGAGAAGAAGTATGAATAGAATGAAAGGATTGACTTACTCTTTTCCTCCCGTAGAATGACGGATGAGGAAAAGAGTATACGCGCGTCGTGGGGGTGGCGTGGATTAAATAAAGGGATGATTATGGTTTTAGGACCAAGGTTCTTAGACTAAACCTTAATGTAATATTAGACTCATGGCATCTGGAACCTAAGTCCTAGAGACGTAAGGTGTCTCTCAACACACCCCCTGTTTCAGATGTCCATGAATGACATTTAGACCCACTTGATCCCTAAGTCCTTTAAAAGGGCCTGGATGTAGAGGTTTAGTCAGGGTGTCCGCAAACATATTCTTGTTGCTGATATGTCGAAGTTTAATCAATTTCTTTTCTACCTGTTGTCTGATCCAATGATATTGTACCTCAATATGTTTAGTACGAGCATGAAATATAGATTTTTCAGTTAATGCTACCGCTCCCGTGCTGTCACTGCATAAAATAGTAGGTGATTGTTGCCCAAGGGATATATTCTCCAAAAGACCACGCAACCATACAACCTCCTGTCCGGCCTCGGTCGTAGCTTTATATTCAGCTTTGGTGGATGATAGAGATACCGTTGGTTGAAGGCGGCTTTTCCAGCTAATTGCGGCTCCATTCAGCTTGAACACATAGCCTGTGGTTGATCTACGTGTTGATGGATCACCAGCCCAATCGGAGTCAGTATAACATTCTGGGTAATACCAACTCTGATTCCCTTCAATGATACTGTCTTGACTTGAATAAATTAATCCTAAATGTTGGGTTCCTTTCAAATAGCGCAATACATGTAATCCCATCTTCCAAGCAGAATGTGATGGTCTTGACAAATGTTGAGAGAGAGATCCTACGGCGTAGGCTATATCAGGTCTGGTTCCTTGTGCGATATACATTAAACTACCCACTAAACTGTTGTACGGTAATTCAGACTTCTGGAACTCTAATAGATCAGAATCACTAGCTTTCAGGATCTTTGCTCCTCCGGGGAAAGGCGTTGATGCCGGTTTACAATCATCTGAGTTAAATCTCTCTAGAACAGTCTGGATGAAGGATGGTTGGCTTAGAGAATAGCCACCATCATCGGTCGAGTTTACTTCAATCCCTACAACACAATGAGCAGGGCCCAAATCCTCCATTTTCCATTTTAATTTCAATAAGCTCTTTATTTCATAAATTTTATCACCCGTGATTGCCATATCATCTACGTGTAGATATAGCAGCGTCTCTAGACCATCCACATCTTTTCCATACCATAAGCAGGCGTCATGAGGGTTTTGCACCAATCCAATACTCATCAGTTTTTGTTTCACTTCGTCACTCCAGCATCTGGCAGATTGTTTAAGACCATATAGAGCCTTTCTCAACCTCGCTACCTTCCCATTTGCGCGCTCAGCATCGTATCCTTCAGGTAGTTCTAGGTATATTTCTTCTTGAAGGTTGCTGTTGAGGAATGCAGCGATGGCGTCCATCTGTTCGATGGGCCATCCCTTTGCTGCTGCAGTAGCCACCAGAATTCGGAAAGAAGCTAGTCGTCCTGTAGGCGCGAAGGTGTCATTAAAGTCAACACCCTCAGTCTGGGTGTAGCCTTTCGCAACGTAACGAGCTTTATGTTTTGATATGCTCCCGTCAGGATTAACCTTATACTTGAAATGCCAGCGGCCGCCTACAACTGGAGAGTTCTTAGGGCGGTCGACAATTTCCCATACGCCCATGTTGATGATGTTCTGCATTTCTTTATCGCATGCAGCCTTCCATTTATCTGCATCTGGCATTTTCATCGCCATTTTGTAACTCTTAGGCTCTGCTCGAGCTTTCATAGCTTCTCGGCATTCATAGAGAGCTGTGATGAAGTTTCGGCGAGCCATCTTGGGTACGATTGATCGCATGGGATAAGCCTCAATCACATTAGTGGCACCAGGCACATAACGTTCGGGGGGACGACGTTCTCGGGTTGATTGTCTTGGAGCATTCGTCAAGTTTGGTGGGGTTGGCTGGGTATCTGATGTATGTTCTTCCGTGATCGGGCTTATTTGATCATCGATAGGGGGTTCAGGACTTGGACTGAGATCTTTCTCTGTTATGACTTCTTTAGGAGTGAGGAGCTCTTGGTGAATGTCTTCATCATCATCACAGTGATCCTTCGGTATATCAGGGATGGAGTGATCTTGTTCAACTTGATCATCTTCTTTATTATCATCTAATGGAAGATCTTCGATAAACATCCAATCGGGATTGTCTTCGGCATCCTTCATGAAGGGAAATACTAACACTACAAGAAAGATAATATTTTCTGGGCAGAAAATTAAATTATTGATACACAAAAATATTGAGAGGCCAGGAGGAGAGCAAAAAATGAATAAAAATATGCATCTTGTTCCCTGCGTTGAGAACTTCACTCTGCATATTGTTCCGTATTTTTACAGTCCATATTGATAAGTGTACTAACAATAAACCTTCACAATCATGCAATTACAACCTGTAACAAGCACTGAAATTTGGCTCATTAGTGTTTAGAGAAACTTTTGATTTCTGAAAATACTCATAACTTTTTCAATTCCGGTCCAAAACGCACGATTTTGGGTGCATTGGTAAGCTGGAATTGTCCTCCAAATAGTTCATAATAGGACCACACAGCATGCTGGTCTGCTAAAAAAGATATCATCTTGTTTATACATTTGTACATACAGATCCATAGAATGATTGTCATACTAGCTACATAGTTCTTGATCTTATGAAAGTTCGAGAGGAAGAGTTCAGCTTTCCAATGCACTTAAAATCGAGTGTTTTGAGGCAGATTTGACAAAGCTATAGGTGTTTTCAGAAATCAAAAGTTTCTCTAAACACTAATGAGCCCAAATTTTCAGTGCTTGTTACAGGTTGTAATTGGATGATTATGAAGGTTTATTGTTAGTACACTTATCAATACGGACTGTAAAAATATGGAAAAATATGGATAGTGAAGCTCTCACCGCAGGGAACAAGATGCATTTTTTTATTTATTTTTTGCCCTTCTCCTGGCCTCTCAATATTTTTGTGTATCAATAATTTAATTTTCTGCCCAGAAAATATTATATTTTGTGTAGTGTAATGGTTG